CCCCGCCCCCCGGTTTGCCCCAGCAGCTGTGGCTCAGAACAGCAGGGGCTATAACTGAAAAACTTGCAGAAAGCACATTTTTGCAATAGGTGAACCTGTATTCTGCAATATCACTACTGGTTGTAGGGTTTCTTCTTCTTATTTTTCTGAGGGCTTATTTCAAGATACTTTGTACGTCCTTACAGATATTTTATCTCCTCTGATTTCAGAGAGCCTTTGGGAAGACTGCGCTGCAGCAAACCCAGGAGCTGGAAGAGGAAGAGCGAGGTCTGTGTGCCGGAGGCTGTCTCCTGCTGTCAGGTGGGATTAACACGGGGCTAGGTGTGAAGTTTGTACACAAGCTCCTGGGCATGACCCCAGGCTTTAAGCCACCTCCTTTAAAGGCAGAAACGTGGGTACACCACAGAAACAGCGTGCTTGCTCTTTCCATCCGGTCTAGCGGTGGAGGCAGCTGCCAGGCCTACGCTGCGGTGGGTACAACGCCCTGCGCAGCACCCGCTCCACCTTTCTCCATGGGGTCGGTGGCGTAAGCCCCCCTGCGTGGAGCCAGGGCAGGTACCACCCCTCGGGAGCTGTAAAGTACCTCTAAAGGCTGTGATATAGGTGTAACCCTAAAAACTAATTCGTTTCTTACTCTTCCAATGAGAAGATATGGCTTCTAGCTAATTTCTGCCTTCTCTTACGCCAGTAAAATGCAGCCGCCCAGGGAAGCGCAGGGGTTTAAGCGGGATCGTTGTTTCGGCTCAGAAGGCAAGGTGCTCTCCTCTTCCTGCATTCCAGCTTGTATAACAACGCTAGTCACATAGCAGCTTGCCTGGAGCCTGCTTAGCATCCAACTTGGCAAAGTGTCTTTGCACACGCTGGTACCTGCTTGTGCTTGTATCTTTGACAGAAAGATGGAAGAGTCTGAAAGCAGTTTATGCCTGAGCCTAGTTTAAAGCGGACAGTGGTTGTGAGCCGTGTTTGCCGTGCTGTGGGCTGTAGGTAGCCCTTGGGTCCCCGCTCCGCACTGCTGCGTTATGCAGGTGCTTTGGAGCGCGCCGGCACAGTTGGCCAGAGCAGCTGCAGGCAGCGCGGCCGGCCAAACCGCTCTCCCCTCCGGAGACAGCCGGCAAACGCCGTGCAGGGGAAAACTGTTGGGCTGTATCTTGCTTATGAAATATTGATAACGTCGGCTTTGCGTATTCGGAATTAGCCTGCGCTAATCAAGATATAGCGCTGCTGTAACTAGTCCTGTGCGTTTATAATACGGATAAATAAGCTTGAGGAAGCCGGGCGGGGAGCGCGGCTTTGGGGGCTGCCCCAGAAGCGTCCCTCCAGGGGGACGGGGCCACTTTCCCACGGGGCAGGCTCGGTGCGAAAGACCCCC